TCTCCCTCTCACGCGCGCTCTCTCTCTCACTCTCACGCGCACTCTCTCTCTCTCTCACGCGCACTCTCTCTCTCTCTCACGCGCACTCTCTCTCTCTCTCACGCGCACTCTCTCTCTCTCACACGCGCACACTCTCTCTCTCTCACACGCACTCACTCTCTCTCACGCACTCACTCTCTCACACGCACTCACTCTCTCACACGCACTCACTCTCTCACACGCACTCACTCTCTCACACGCACTCACTCTCTCACACGCACTCACTCACTCTCCCGCACGCACGCACGCACACACACTCACACACGCACACTCATTCACACACACACACACGCACTCACTCACTCACACACTCACACTCATTCACATACGCACTCACTCACTCACTCTCACACTCACTCTCACGCACGCACTCACTCACTCTCACACACGCACACTCATTCACACACACGCACTCACTCACACACGCACACACTCACTCTCACGCACGCACACACTCACTCGCGCACTCACACTCATTCACATACGCACTCACTAACTCACTCACTCTCACACTCACTCTCACACACGCACTCACTCACACACGCACACACTCACTCTCACGCACGCACACACTCACTCGCGCACTCTCACACACTCACTCTCACACACTCATTCACACACACACGCACACACTCACTCTCACACGCACACACTCACTCTCACACGCACTCACACGCACACACTCACTCTCACACGCACTCACACGCACTTACACGCACTCACACGCACTCACACGCACTCACACGCACACACACACACTCACCAGGTCAATGAGGTCGCTGAGGTTCTTCTCGATCTGCTGCGGAGGCAAGCGCCTCATCAGGTCCAGCGCACAGTCTAACTGCTGCTCGTTCTGCGGAGAAACACACATTCATAATGTTACAAAAGATTTCTATTTCAAATAAATGCTGTTCTTCTGAACTTTCTGTTCATCTGTGAATCCTGAAAAATAAAATGCATCACAGTTTCCACAAAAATATTGTGCAGCACGACTGTGTTCAACATTGATAATAATCAGAAATGTTTCTCGAGCAGCAGATCAGCATATTATACTGATTTCTGAAGATCATGTGACACTGAAGACTGGAGGAATGCTGCTGAAAATACAGCTGTGCATCACAGAAATACATTACACTTTAACAGAGATTCACAGAGAAAACAGCTGTTTTACATTGTAATAATATTTCACTATTAGTTTTGTATTATTGATCAAATAAATGCAGCCTTGATGAGCAGAAGAGACTTCTTTCAAAAACATTAACTACAATTAAACAATCACGTTTTCTCAAACCATATCAGCAAAGGCTTTTTTCATGACAAATTAAAATAAATAGTCAATAAATAAAGAAACTTATAAAAAATAATTAAACAATATTTATGAATATAAAGAACAGCAATTTTAAAAGTGTTTACAACTCTTAAATTAAACAGACATTTATTTACTGAATCCCCTAAAACATATGGTATATTATCCACTATTATTGTTACCAATTAATATCCACTGTTATCATTATTATGATGAGCAAACTCTTGGTTGGGGTTTGACGTAAAATACCACTTCATATAATTACAACACAATTTTAATGTCAAATTAGCTCAAATATATGTCCTTTCAAAAATAGAAATTTGGCCACGGCATAAAATATGTTTAAGTAAAATTACAAAAAACATTCACAATTTATCATCAACTGAAATAAAGATTTTAAAAAAATTTAATGGAAAAAAATGTTAAAAACTTGAAAGAAAAATTAGAATTATGTTGCCATGTCAAATATCTGAAATAAAATATGTTTAAGTACTAAAACGCATTAAGTAATAAATAAAGATGAACAAAAAACATTAGATAAAAATAAGAATATAGCATAAAACATTTAGATTTTTCATCTTTATTTCAATTAATGAAAAAGTAGTTAATACTTCAACTTAAACATTTTAACTTTTGTTCAAGTTTAAGTTGAAGAACTAAAATGACAAACTATTCTCACTCACTATTCACATTTTTTTCATTAATTAAAATAAAGATGAAATAAAATTACATTTGTTACATGAAAAACATGCCTAATTTGAGTGCCATTTATCAGAATCTCAGCAGTGATCACCGTTGTTTGCGTTAATTCAGCGCTGTCATGCTATAATAACCTCCTCAGACCCTAGTCTGGGAAACACGAGTTTAGGCCAAGAATAACAAACGTCCTCAAACTTCCTGCGTGTCATCTGTTGGCTATTTCTAGTTTCCCATCCGAGAGTAAACATCACAAAACTCCTTCATACTGCTGTACAAACACACACCCCGAACGCAGCGGCTCCGCGTCAGCGACACCTCCGGCTCCTGACACCGCGTTTACTCAGTGTGTGTGAGGGGTCAAAGGTCACAGGCAGGCGCGACCCCTGAGCCAAACCACCTGCTCCGGGCCGTCTGAGAGCGTCTGCTCCAGCAGAACATCTAAACACGCTGATGGAAGCGCCATCTGCGCTCTCGCTAACTCACTGCTAAAGCCGCTAGTAAACATCAGTCGGAGTTTCTGTACTTCAAGCACAAGTGAAAAGAACCAGCTGTTTCTCTCCATGAATATCCAACCTCAAACTCCATCCGTCAAAACACTGCGACACTAAAACCCTGAAACCAAACAAAGCAGCCCTGAACACCCAAACTACAGGAGATTCAATGAGGGTCGACGACTGGCTGATGATTAAATGCTGATATTAACACGAATGACAGCAAAAGAGCTCAAATAAACACTTATTTGAAGCAACACTGCAGTAGAGTTTCGAATCCATGCAAATGACTGAGCTTGTAACACTCCAAAGAGAAAGGAACAATTGAAATCGCATCATATGAGCCCTTTAATATTTAGATCTTGTGTTTCCTATACATTGATTTATTTGTGCCGGCCCGCCACAATATCAAAACTCACCGCCACAAATAGATTTTCCAAAAGGCTTTGACTTCGTTGAATAAACATGAGCACTGCACGTGTCAAAGTCGAAACCCGCTGCGGGTGTTTTTATATCACTGTATTTCTGAAGGAACCCCACTGTCTACAAAGTCGGTACTAAAAAAATTAAAACGGTACAGTACCAGGTTTTTTTTTTAAGTACCGGTGGAACCGAGTACCCGGTTCTTGATGCGCTATCCGAAAGGTGCACAGGTGCGCTCTCTTCATAAAAGCACTGAGACGCGGCGACATCAAAAACAGCGCTTATTTGATTACAGCCGTTACCGGGGAAACTGCTATCTCTCCCGCTCTACAAGCGCCTCCTGCTGGCAGAGCATGAGTTTGCATATATATGCCGCCACAAATAGAGTGCAAGTCTGTGAGAAACACCGCTTCTGTTACGAATATTATTCAATATTTTAATTTGAATGTCGGATTGAAATGAACACCGCTGTTATTAGAGTAGTTCATCATTATCATAAACGCAGCTAACACTAATATGAGCATTAGAATGAAGTTTCTTTATTAACTATTTAATGCTCCTATAACTTTTATTACGGTAAAAAAAAAAAACAGGAGGACATGATGATATTTACTAGAGCCCGACCGATATATCGTTTAGCTGAAATTATCGGCCGATAGGAGCCTGTCGCAGATATAATGGCATCAGCGAATATGCCGCCGATATGACATTTTATTTACAGAACATATAACGCAGATTAAATACTTCTGAATGGTGTAGTTACTTAGTTTGTCCTCCATTGTTTGCTACTGGCGACCCAGGTCAGTGTAGTGTAAAGATGCGCGGATGAGCTCAAACTTCACCCGAGTCCGCTGCTTCAAATTATCCGCCCACACCTATATTTGATCGTCACATAACAATGATTCTAATTCTCAGTTTTGCATGATGATATGATGAATGGATGGTTCATGTTTAACAGCAGATTCAGTGACGTTAAGAGACTAGAGCTGATCTGCGCATCCCAGCACGCATCTGCGGCGCATTAAAGCCTTTGTTACGGCCACCGGAGCTGATCGCGGCCACTCAGTCAATGCTGGTGTTTATACCGGCCACGAACTCATGCTTATCACATCACACCGCTTGCATCCGGTGTAGAATAGAACCCATTATAATCAGTGATGTTGTCACTGGATGCAGTAAACTGATGCCTCGTTCTATTTATGAAATGCTGACACAAAGTTCAAATGATTTTCAATGGTC